TAGAACAAATTACAAAAGCGAAGAAAATCGGATTTATAACCCAAACTCAAGAACATAAATATTAGTTCTAACAAACCAAGTTATCATGCTAAAATATTAGCATCATCAAAAAATATTTGGCAAATATTAAAAAGAAACCCCCCCCCCCCCAGTGTTTTTCTGTCGTTTTTTTGATCCTTCCTCGATGGACTACTCCTTACTTTTTTTTTCTTTCTTTTCTTTCTAGATTAGCCTTGCATTTGTTACATTTATTATTTTAAACTAATAGTTTTTAATTTCATCATACTTTATCTTTTATTTTTAAATTATAAAATAAATTATATTTTTTTAAAAAAAAAAATTAAGTAAAAAAATATTTAAAATTTAATGAAATTTCTATCTTATTTATTTGTTATCAATTGAAGTTTGGTGATGATGAACAATTAACTCAAATATTATTGATAAATTTTTTATATTTTTCTAAATGAAAAAAAAAAAAAACCCAAAAATATGATGAAGTTAAGATTGAAAATTGAGTGGATGCGTACTTTAGTTTGAGTTAATTTATGATGGAGACAATGCAATGGAAAAGAAATGTCTTTATATATATATATATATATTATATAATCAATAAAATATGTGTATCTTATTACAAAATTATTTAAAACATAATTTACTTTTATATGGAAATATATTTTTTAGTTTAATTAATAAAAAATGTTTTTATTTATTTTTTATATTTTAATGATCCCACTTCAAATTGAATAATTAGCAATAAAGAAATTGGAGGAATAAAATTATCAGGAGATTAGTTTTGAAAAAATTGAGCCTAATTTAGATTAATTATGTTTTTATATTAATAACCTAGAGAAAGAGGCATGAGGTACCAATTAATATTTGAGTTATAAATGTTAATTATTGCATCACTATATTTATTAGTGGCATGATGATGATGATTATTATTATATTAGAAGATAAAATGCTCCTAAAACTTTTCAAAAAATCTTGATTAATTATTATTAGTCTCTGTCTAAGCTTATATTTATTAATTCCAAACACAAACACATTGATTGACATATGTACGTATATTTTAATAAAATAACAAAATAAAATAAAATCAACACTACTTTCATTAATTTGAAGATATTAAATGAGATTATCATTTATCTAAAAAAAAAATTTGATATATTTGTGGAATTGGAGTTTATCAAGTTCATATAGTATACAACTTGAAATCACATTACATAAATTGAAAAAATAAAATTAATTCATTACGGTTTTTCTCTTGAGTAACAGATAATTTTATTTTATTTTTATATAAAAAATTTATGCATGAAAAGAGCCGAAAATGACTTTCTAACATGAAGAAAAAAAAATAGAAATAACTACTAAATTAAACTCCATTAATTATATATAATTTAACTATTGGGTTAATTTTGAATCACATACTTACAAGAAGATTAATTAACTTTGTACATCAAGTCGTCTTTTTTTTTTTCTCCATTTCTATTTTCTCTTGAGATATTTAAGTTTACTTTCTTTTTCTTTTCACTTTTACTTCATTTTTATAACGGCTCCGAAAATTAAAAGAAAATGTATATATTTATTCTAAGTGCGGAAGCGAAATAAAATAGATTATGATTAACATCCCTTACACAATAATCAAAACGTATTAAAGATATTAAAGAATAAACTAATTAAAGGAAATACTATGAATGAATACTATAAGGAAAATTAATAGATCTTTAGGCTTCTATTCGCCGTCTTCTTGCGGAACGGACTCGGGAACCAAGTCCTCCTGATCTGAAATGGTTAAGTAATGAATGAGCTACACTAGCTCAGTAAAGATGTCCCACTATTTCACTGTCACCGAAGTAAAGGTTGATAGAAAACAAAAATGACCAATGGAGTATAATTTATAACAAATTCATTTATCAATAATAAAACCTTTTACTGTCCACTTACCTCGGTAAGATTCATGAAAATAACTTATGAAAACAATAATATTATAAACATCATAAAATCATACACACTCTGTAACATAACACATATCATACTCTTGTATTTCAATCATCAGGCAACAAATTTCCTCTTTTATCAGCTTACTAGTATCCATAGGGATCCATAGGGGTCCCCGCTACACGTGAACCATTCTCCTTAATTGCAGAACTGTCCCCATACCTCGTCCGATATGAGCCCCAAAACCATAAACCTCAATACCCCGTCCGGTATGAGGGTGAAGCGGGCCAACCCCATACCCCGTCCGGTATGAGTGCCAAAACATTTAAAGTCTCCATACCCCGTCCGATATGAGAGATCCCGTTCCTGGTAGGGTTCCCTATGGACTCGGTCCGTCCACCATCTCCCATGATATCTAGTGAGGCTGTCGAACTTATCCATTTATAAATTCACATACCCTTTTTATTCTTCTTAGTCTCAATTACCCAATCAACATGAATACATAAACCAGTAACGCATACTAAACAAGGCAACACAACATCGGATTCACAATAATTCAAACCATAATAGATTAAACAGTGGTTCATGCATACGAAACTACAGAATAAACAATCAAATACTATACTACATTTAGACTGTAAAATACATCAAACAAGAACAGACCGACAA